CCCCCCACAATTCCTCTTAAACCTGTATCATTAATTAAAAAAAAAATCACCCTGCAGTATAATTTACACAGTATTCCCATGAAGATAATGACAGCTTAATGACAATTATCATAAAGAGAAGAAAATTATTTATTATAAATTGTAAGCATACGGCTACCAAAGTCATGCCAATTTATGTCAAGTGTCTGTTCATTTATTAAAATTCGATCGAAATTACAAGTCTCATAATAATATATTACCTTTGGTATAATTATCACTTTCGGGAAAAAAATATAATTTATGATTTTCGCATTTCTCGTTATTAGCATGACGTGATCGATAAATTGTATATTTATTCTTATCTCTCTGTTTCGTCTTCCCGCGTGCCATTGTTATTGCATTTTGAAATTAATAAATGCACATGTCATCGTTCGTAATGATAATAATGATGATAATGATAATGAAATGTTGACAATAATAGTAATGATAATATCCATAATCATGATGATAATGATGGTAAATATGATGATGATGATGATTATTGTTATTATCAATGCTGTTATCATTATCATGATCATTATCCTTATTATCTTTATCGTCACAATCATTATTAATGTTATCATCATTATCATTATCATCAGCATTAGCATTATCATCATTATTATTATCATTGCTGTTGTTATTATCAGTATTATAGTTATCTTTATTGTTATTATTATCATTATCATTATTGTTGTTATTATCATTATCATTATTACTATCATTATTATTGTTACTATAATGATCACCATTATTATTATCATATTTATCAATACTATTATTAACAATATTTTCATTATTAGTAGTATTGTTATTATCATTATTATTATCATTATTGTTATTATCATTATTATTATTATTATTATTATTATTATTATTATTATTATTGTTATTATTATTATTATTATTATTATCATTATTATTATTATCATTATTATCATTATTGTTATTGTTATTATTATTATTATTATTATTATTATCATTATTATTATTATTATTATTATTATTATTATTATTATTATTTATTATTATTATTATTATTATTATTATTATTATTATTATTATTATTATTATTATTATTATTATTATTATTATTATTATTATTATTATTATTATTATTATTATTATTAGTATTATTATCATTATTATTATTATTATTATTATTATTATTATTATTGTTGTTGTTGTTATTATCATTATTACTATTATTATCATTATTATTATTACTATGATTGTTGTTGTTGTTGTAATTATTACCATTATTATCATTATTACCATCATTATCAGTATGTTATCATTATTGATATTATCATTATCATTATCATTAACACTATTATCATCAGAGTTATATGTACGCACGCACACACGCACGCACGCACGCACACTGTGTGTATGACGTCGACTCTAAAAGTATATAACATTGTATGGTGCTGATTTATACGTATTCATCAAGATGCAGGGAACATGAATGAAAATATTCATTTCCTTTTCACTACCAATTTATCTATTCTGACAAATCAATTTTAATTAAGAAATATTATAAGCAAGTACCTCTTTATTTCTTATATACTTACATTGTAATTGTGTACCGATTTTGTTTCACAATATATCTTTTTCCTACTTATAAGCAACAAAATATGACAAATTTAAGAAAAAAAACTATATTTACAGAAAATTAAATCAAATTAAAGTAGTAATAGTATTTCACCTTCATAATATATCGATAACACAACCCGTCTCTAGCGAAGAAATCTCCCGACGCGAGAAAAGGTAAACAAACCCAAGGGAAAAGGTCATTCTGATAAGAGAGTTTTCTTTAATCTCAAAAGTGTCGAAAACAGTACAGACAAGTAATGCTATTATTGTTATGGCTTAAAACAGTGTCCAGATAGGCATAACCTGTAGAAATGAGTGTATGACACTTCATTCAGAGCGAGATTTATATATTATATTTAACTTTGTGAATTTGTACCCACTATTCGTAAATATTTATCGATATCAATCTGGCTTTACATTATTCCATCTTTCTTAATTATACCTCGGTAGCTCTGACTTAGGATTTGAATTGTTAAGTCAATTTCCACCGAGTGTGTGTAAATCCTCACTATCATTACTCTAGTATGAGTAGATAAGGTAATGTCTATGGAACTAATGAGGTCCTTGTTGCTCACTCCTTTTTGTGGGTCGTGTGGTGTGGTTGGTTTAGTACTGGCTCTCTGGTTTCGTTCCCGGAGTGATCTAGTTCGAGTCCTGGTCAGGGAGGGTTGTAATTTATCGATATCAGTGGGGCATTACATTATTCCATCTTTCACCCACTATCCATGTAGTTAGATAAACATTGAAAGAAAGCTGAAGAACCGCAATATTTGTATAGAAAACGTGCAGTGGCTTGTCAAAACGGGATTTCATTTAGAGGAAATTATCTAGCTTTTGTTGCTTATTTCTTGCTTATCTTGCTATATGTATATATTTTTTGTTTCAGATGCCTTTCCAGCAGGCGGGGGCAGCTGAGGTGCTCAGAGCAGCCCAAAAAGATGAAAGTTTCCTCAATTACCTGAAGAGCTGCCTCTCAGACATTGTTCAAAGATCTTTTGGTAAGGCTAGAAACTTTTTGCTGATGATATAATTTTTTATTATTTATCCATGCATTTATATTACTTTAATGCCAAGAATTGTTCCTTGTATACCTGCATATTAGTTATCTACACACACAATGCACAGGTCATGGACAGCAATAGTTAGGATTTGAAGCAGGCATACCAGAATGTCAAAAGAATCTTATCACATCTCCCATATATGTTTTTTCTCATATTAATTAAAATTCCACCTTTTATGCTTTTCATACTTATTTTTCACCTAGATGCAGTGCCTCATATCTCTACTCTTGCAGGAACGAGAGTGTGGCTTGATATTCACAAATATGTCGAAGTTCTGTGTGAATTAACGTATTACAGCCTGACTACCCTATCCCTGCGGCAGACACTAGGAGAGGAGTACACAGGTGTCTTACAAGTAGGCAGGAACAGGCAAAGACTTCCTAATGCTCCAGTTAGTATGGTTTATTCATGACTTTGTATATTTAATGCACACATTTTGTAAGGTGATGGATATGAGATTGTCTTGATATTTTAGGTGACTGTATATTTTGTATGTATTGGGGTATACTTGATATATTTCTGTATATTGTGGAAGTGAGAATTCATGTATTTATCGAATTTTGAATACATTATGGTAAAAGCTAATTACTGTTTGAATGTTGTTATATTTTTATTTGGCATAGCTTATGGCTTCTGTTAGATGTAGGTAAATAAAAATACTTATTTTAGACAGACAAAATGATATAGAAGGTACTTGAAGAATGTCTGAATAGAATATGAGTAATATTTAATAGTTTGAAGGATTTAAAAGATGAAAATAGGTTGGATTAAAATTGGATGTTGTGATTATATGGTTGTGGCTATCTAATATAGTCTCATGGGCAGAGCTACTTTTGGAGTTGCAATATATTACATTTCACCTTTTTTCAAATGTTAAAACAGTCATTCTATACCATTTTTCTTCTGAGATCTGTATTAAAAGGCTATTATACAGTAAAGTAACCATAATGGAAAACAAAATATTCAGCGCATAGTTCATACAGTCTGCTTTTTTATCTCCTGCAGGAAAGAATCATGATGGTGGCCCTGCAGTGCTTTGGGCCAGAAGTGATACGAAGGCTGATGGGGAAGTTGGAAGACTCGTTAAGAGCTGGCCACCTGTCGACCTACCTGAGGCCAGAGCTGAAGAACTTCCTTCTGCTGCAGATGCCAGCCATTAGGTATTCGATGACGCTGCTTCATCGCATCCACCTGGCTATTTTCTACTTCAGCGGAGCCTTTTATCACATTTCCAAACGGATGACAGGAGTGAAATATGTGAGTTTGTGATGGATGCTTATTGGTATGCTTTTTTGTCTAATATGGGTTTAACCTCTGGAATTCTGCTGGATTGTAGAAATTCCTAAATAGCAGGATTATAATACTAAAATATCTAACAATTTGATGATATCATTATTGTCACAGTTTTGATGTAAAATAAATATGCTTACAACATGACAAAGAAAGAAACATAAACAGGATCAAAAGCAAACAGTAGGTACAATGAGTCATAGATACTAGTAGCTGGTAGTGGCAGATGGGTAATCTAAAATAATGTTAAGACACTTGGAGTTTCTGGGTGACAAAATACTAGATTAGGGGGTTCAGCCTTTAGTAAATGGTATAAGATTATGTTGATATAAATGTTGTATGGGAATTGCAGATCAGTACTTTGTGTAGTATAAGGTCTTCACTTGGATTAAAAAAACAATTCAATCTACTTCTGTTGTCTGCAACATTGCGACTAAAAGGATGATAATTGTGGAATATTTTAGTTGGTGTTATGTATTTGTAAGTAGTATTATTAGCAAATATCTATTTTGAAATGTGTGAATCAGTATACATTTTTTTGAATATTCTCATAACTGATCAATAAGAAAAAAAAAAGTATTCAGTTCTATATTCATATATCTAATCTGTATGTCTCTAGATGCATATGTTCTTATCTGTGTTTTAATTTTTTTTATAAAATTTTATACTTTTTCCCTAATTATATCTTTATGAATAATTTTTAACTCCACAGGTGTTAGTGCGAGAGTGGTTAGGCGACAGCAGTGCCCGCAAGTCCTTCCAAATCCTGAGTATGGTGCTTCTCACTCATATTTTCCTCACCACTGTGTATTCTGCCTACACCTTTCTCTTCACCAAGACTGTGCCTGAGAATAAGCAGTCTTCTGCAAGTAAGTTTTCTGTCATTTATTCTTCTATATGCACTTGTTTTCATTTTTGTGTTGTATGTATTATGGAAATAGTAAATGTATTTTCCTGTTAGTTATTAAAAAAGAAGAAAAAAACAAAAACATTTATGTCTGTAATGTCTGTCTGGATCTCTTCAGATATTTTTCT